GGAATATGTAAGAATGATGAACCAATATGATGAATAGAAAGTCCTTTACCATCACCAATATACACTTTGTCCTCGCCAGTATAGGGAGTAGGAGAAGAAATATTGGCAACATCATTGGTAATGTGAGAGGTGGCACCCGAGTCAATCAACCAAGATGGAGATGGTTTGGCAGAGTGATTGACATACAGAGCAGCGAGTTTGGCTAGAGGAATCCGACCACAAATGTCTAGATTCATGCGATCAAAGCAGTCAATAGCCTCATGACTGGTAGATCCATAGATTTGACAAGGAACTTTGAAAGTGGAAGAACCTTGAGCTAGGCGAGGGCTTTGATAATTGCGATTGCCACGATTGTTGGAGTAATGACCACAGTTGGTATGGAAGTTACGATTGCCTCTATGAGAGAAGGAATTGCCCCGATTATTCTTGCCACGATTGTGAGATTTTGGTTGGTGCCATGATTGGAGTTGGTGCTGAGCAGCAAACACGGATGGAGTGGATAATAGAGGGGGTTGAGATTGCACCGAGAAAGCTTGAAAAGGCTCAGTTGCAGAAGATGAACTGACATTTTTGCGTCAAGCCATAGACAATTCCTTAGTGAGAAGAAGACCATGGAGCTCATCAAGAGATGTAGAGGACAATTGAAGCATGATTGAGTCTGTGAACGACTCAAATTCATCAGGCAAGCCATGAAGAGTGGCTGCAATGAGATCTCGATTAGAGACAGAGGCACCAACAGCTTGCAAGGAATCGGAGATCTCTTTGATTTCTTGAAGATACTCAGAGATAGAGTGAGATCCTTTTTGAACCGATTGAAGACGCGACCGCAATTGATGAATGTGAGCCTCTGAAATTCCACCAAATCTCTGTTCAAGCTTCACCCAGAGGTCATGAGAAAAGGAAACCCCAACCGTGAAAGGAATGATTTCCTCAGAAAGTGTGGAATTAAACCAGATCAAAAGATTTTGATCTTTTTCATACCATTCCTCAAATGCAGGATTGATGCTGTGATCAGGCAGGAATGGCGATGGACATGCTTCAGTTCCATCAATGATTCCAAGAAGCTTGTATCGCCTGAGGATTGGGCCAAACAATGCACGCCATGGTAGGTAGTTTGATCTTTTCAGCTTAATCGGCACCATGCTGCCGATGTTGTGAATTGTAAGAGAGGTGTAGGAACTCAAAGGACTTGGATTACCAAAGAAATTAGGGTGCGTTTGTTGCACCGGACTATCTCGAACTGGACTAGCTTCAGGGACTAAGTTGGACTGGGTTAGACTAGACTAAGCAGGACTAACTTAGTGAAGCGTTTGGTGCAGTATCGGATTAGAAGTAGGATAATAAAAATAATAAAATTAATTCTTTTTTTTTCTTTTTCTATTTCTTTTTCCTGCCTGCCTGAAACCTCTGTTCTGTCTATTTTTTTCCGTCCAAACTCCATAGATTCCAATCACAACTTTTTTTCATTTCAATTGATAAAGCGCTCCATCCAAATTCCACTACTTGCAACCACATCTTTCTCCTCCATTTGAATCGATAAAGCTCCCAAAACATAAACAATCAAAAATTCAATTTCAATCGACATCGAAATCGAAATCGCAGCTGCGTTCCTTGTATACCCAACAACGACACTCTGATTCGAGCAGGACGAGGAAAGAGAGGGAGAGGACGTGATCTGGGTTGGGTCTTGCAGATCGGCTCGACATCGAGGTTGGGTCATGCAGATCGGCTTGGCATCTAGCAGGACTGTGAGGATTTGGCCGCAAGGTCCATGCGGGGATGTCAGTGCAAAGATAGAGCAAGGGAGAGAGAGGAAGATCCATGCGGGGAAGGATTGTGAGGATTTGACGGCAAGGTCGTGGAGCAGACGACGCGAAGAGCGAACGTCTTAGCAGTCCGCTTCATTTTGGGGGGTCTCGCTAAGACCCTTTAGCGAGCTCTCTAGTCGGAACGAGTCCCCTTTAGTCCCACTTAACTTAGTCCTAGCACCTACCAAACATGGGACTGTAGTCCAGTCCAGTCCAGTCCCATTTAATGAGGCCAAACAAACGCACCCTTAGGGTTTTGGATCGACGGAGAAGACTATTCAGGCGGTGTCGAAGAGGATTGCACCGCCATATCTTGCAGAAATCACGAGGTAAGAAAGATCGAAGAAGAAGAATTGAAGAATCTGAGAAGGAGGAATCAATCAAGAATCGAGCAAGAATCGATCGATCGATCAATTTGAGCGGAAGGAGGAATCGATGCTGTTAAGCAAAATGGTGTGATACCATATAGAAACAGAAAACTTCCTCTGTAAGTTTTCTAATTGTATTGACTTAACAAAATAATTGTACACTGTGAGGATATATATGTATATAGCCTTTGGCTATTTACAACAATACCCCTTAACTGCCTAACCTTATAACAACCCTACAATCATTAGCACAGCTAATCACATTTACATATAACTAACTATTTTATAGTAACTGAAATGGATGACTTGCATTCTCCCTAATAGTGAACATAAATGTCAAACGCATTATGTGACAAACACAGGCCCATTTGGGATTGCTTCTCTATAAAGCACTTATGCCCATAGCGATTTTGATAAAGTGCATTTATTATAAATGTGAAATTTTTTGTTAATGATCCAACACTAAACCCTATTTTTAATTAAAAATCTAAGTGCACCTATTAGCACCTGATAGCTGCTTCTCCAGAAAGCACTTCTATTCTACCAAGCATAGTCAGAAGTCAGAAGCGTTTTTGGTTGTCACTAAACACTTTTAGACCTGGTTTGGGAGTGAGGTGCTTAAAAAAAAAAGCACCCATGAAAAAAAGCTGTAAGGGTTTTAGGTGTTTGGTAAACTGAAAAAAAAGGGCTTATTTTGGAAGCTGCTGTGAGAATAAGCTGAAATCAAAGGAAAAAGCTGAAGCTGCTATTTGCAGCTTTGGAAAACTGGTTTTTTTTCAAAGCACACGGAGCTACAGTGCTCCTTTAATGAAAAGACCCACTATCAGACTGCTTTTTTTTCCAAAAGCACTTTTACAAAAAAGTTTACCAAACACTCTGCTACTTTATTTCACAGCCGCTTATTCTCACAGCACAGCCGCTTATTCTCACAACAGCTTTTTTTCAAAGCACAACAATACCAAACCAGCCCTTAGCCTTCCAGAAGGAGTCCCAAACGAGCCATCTCCACAAGGACTAGCTATCAATAAGGAGAAGAAGAATCATCGAACTAATGGACGGGCCGCAATGCAAGTACATGGATGGCTGGATTAGCTTGAAGCCCGAAAAATGATTTTGGTTCAGTTTTAGTTGCTGGAAAATGATTTTGTTTAAGATCGTGGGGCCCCTTAATTCTAGCAGGCAACATATCTCTCAATCGGGTTTCTAGCCCTGTGTGAACTGCTAAGTACTTTTGGCTCTTATGTATGTGGTTACCATAAAGTAGCACTGCATATAAACCAATGTTTTAAAAGGTGAAGGCATAAGCAAGGCTTTTTAGGGATAGCCCCGCCTAGGCGAAAGCCTTGAGGTTCGCCTCACGGGACTTAAGATTTTTAGTATATTATGTATTTATATAATATTTTAGAGGAATACTTAAGAGTCCCAAAAGAAAAAAACATTTTAAGAAAAAAGAATATATAACGTTATAAAAAAAAACCAAAAACAAAAAAATACTTATTTTTTCTTGCTGGCCAATCATATTTTAAGGAAAAAATAATATAAAGTTAAAAAGGTGTTTTTATTGAAATGTTTGAAATCGATAAAACAATATTAAAAATAAAATCTAATAGAATAATATATGTTGGGAGAATATACTAAGGAATATGCTGGAAAGTTTGAGATTATGCTGGACAGCTGGGGTACAGCTGTCATGGGTCAGTTTGAAAAACACTCCAAACGACGCCGTGGCATTCATCTTCATCTGAAAGTTTTCCAGATTATGGCAACTCTTTTTTTTTTTTTTTTTTTTTTTGTGAGGAGAAACGACAACAATTTATTAAAACAAAACCATGAATTACAAAATAGTGGATAAGAAATCCACCATCTAGCAAAACTAGCTAAGACCTCTCAAGTAGATCTATTTACAAGTAAATAAAACTGAAATAAAATCATTTTACGGCAGCTAATATATCCCAACACTATATGAGAGAGAATAATCCCTGAACTCATTCGAAACTTTTAAACAAAATCATTTTCCGGCAACTAAAACTGAACCAAAATCATTTTCCGGCAACTTTTAAACAAAAACGATGCCCAATCAAATGCCACAGGCGCTCCTCGACCACATCTAGGCAAGTCTTTGCCTACTCCCACTAGGTAGAGGCGATTTCACCGCCGCCTTGCCTACGCGCGCCCCGTTTTTTAAAACACTGATTATAAACCCAAGTAACATAAAATAAGTAATAAGGGCCTACTACCCATTATAAAACAAGGGAAATGATAAACGCACACCTTTTTCTCCTCCTACACACCCTTGTTGAATCATGTCCGTGGTTTTTGTTTGATATATTCAATCCGATGGCCAGAAAAATAAAGAGGGGTGTGTGAAAATCAGCTCCCAATAAATAGATACCCAAAACGTCCACCAACAAAAACTCTAATATAGAAAGATCAATACTAAGGGCCTGTTAGAGTACCTTCATTTATGGTTTTTAGGGCTTTTTCTTATGTATGAAAGAGATAACGGAAAAAACATGAGAGGAAGGATGAAAAAACATGATGAGAAAGAACAGCTGAGTGCCCACTAGGCATCTCGGCAAATTGTTCCTCCCCACCCACCCATAAACTAAAAAAAATTAGGGTTGGACGCATAATTCACCCTGCAACACTAAATGAAAGCAACATCTTCAGTGGGGTAAGCTGCCACTGCTCACCCCACAGTGGCTACTCAGCCACCACAAAAGGTAGTGAATGTAATTGATTTAAGGTGAAAACTGAAAAGTATTCAAGCAGGTTGCTTCCAAGTGAAACAGCAGATGTTTGGAAGAGCAAAAGGGGAACATACCTTTGAGTCAAACTCCTGAACGTCCTCAATCAACTTAAAACATGAATCCCAACAGATAGGGAGAAGATCGATGAATTCTCTTTCTGAAAAGCTAGCATCTTCAATATGCAAACACAGAGACCTACAGGCTGCCATCTAAAACAAGAAAAGCACACTAAAGTAATTGAACAAGCAGCACCAACAAAATGTTAGCAGCATTAGTAACCTCAAAGCAATGAAGGGGAGAATATCTACATAAGAAGAATACACATACCCTTACAGATAGGTCCTTGTCCTGTAGCAATCTGATCAAAGCACAGTAAACTGGCCTTTTTGTGTCCTCTTTAATCTGCCGATAAAGTAAAACAAACAAAACTGATTCATTTTCCGTAAGCTAGTAGATACACTTGGGCAAGAATGACTAACAGATATACAAAATGGAATATAAATGAATCAAGGATCAGCTTGCCATAATAAATATCACAAGAGAGTGGTTCCATTGATTCTTGAAAATCCATCAGAGTAGTCTACCACACCCTATACCTCCATAACTTATATACAGTTCACAAGGTACCATTGAATTCTGTAATCTAGTTAATTTGCTGGTGTTGAAATAATATCAAGGGGAAACAGAAGAAAACAAGTCCTACTATTATTCTCTCCATAAATGCTTGTTTGCCATGGGCTCTATAATTTACTTAGGGAAGAGTATACATCAAAACAGAAGGATATGAAAAGTTCATGACCAATGTTATATCCCTATTCATAAATGTAAACATTAGAAGCTAACTAGACTTGATGGAACAAACTTTGCTTGCAACATATATCAAATCTTCATTAAGTACATGCACCTCTCCTCCTTTAGAGAACATTATTAACTAAATATCTCTCCTTATCTATCCCAATTTCTTTGTTGAATGTGAAAGGTTAAGGAATACAAAACTAGTAATGTTGGCACATGAAAATATGGTTGATTAGTGATATATAGACAAATTGCTACCTCAGAAACCCATTGTCCCAATATTAGTGCAACTTTCCGATGGATGATACGCATATTTGGATGATCATTTGAGAGTTCAAGGGATAAGGCACCATTAAACCTGCAATCGTTCAATCGTTCATCCAGAAAAATTGTCAAAGTTCACTAAAATTTTTATATTAAGAAGAAAACGGAAAAAAGGAAGAGAAAACATGACAGCATACTATCACATGCATAGCTCAAAATTATGAGAATTTGCGCATAGCTTCTGGTCTTTGACATAAAAAAAATAAGGTTGTAATAATGAAACGGACATGTGATAAGAGTTATATCATGTGAGTTCCGCAAAATAAATCAATTTCACAAGGCACCACCATAATAGATGCTGCAACAATTTGAAGGTACCTAAATTTTGGATAACCTAATGCAAGACATGCATAAATTAATAGATATTCTTGCATAGAATAGGCATACCAATCATCAAAGCTCAGGTAATTTGAGAGCTCGTAATAAACATATGCAGCAGCACCGTAAGCAGCATCTTTTAGAAGCAACCCTGGAGTTATTTCAGTCACTGAAGTTGGGCAACCATTCATTGCCTCTTTAAGGATGGAAACCACAACAGGAGCTAGAAGCTAAAATAAATAAACTAAGATCACATAAGCACCATTCTAAAACTCAAAATATAATTTTCTTTTAGGAACAATAATTTAACAAAACCATGTATAAACATGTACCAACCTGGCTGTGATTTTCAAATAGAACAATGTATAAAGCTTCAGCGCATGGCCTTAATTTTTCTGTCCACTGAACCATATCCTGCTCATGATGGAATGATTCAGGACTTTGGTACCACTCCTCCAAATCACTTGATGTAAGAACAAAATACCTGTGCAGCAGATTACCCAAATAAGTTTACAAATAGCATTTTTTTTTAATAAAGAGATGACTGTATTAATGGAGAGAGAAAAAAACATGGGGGGCATGGGGGTGCAAACCAACCCAAACAACGGGGAAACAATCTGAAAATTTGAAAAAAGAAAAAAAAACAGCTCTGAAGATCTGGAAAGGCCTTAAAACTATTAGAAGGTAGCCGCCTTCCAATCATGCCAAATTCAGAAGAATGAAATTCCATTGAACTCAAGAGACACAGATGCCCAAAGGGCTGACAAAAACCGGAATTCTGTCCCACATCTCCATTAAACCAACTCTGACATAATCTTCAAAAATCCTTTTGTTTCTTCTCACCAACCAAACCACACAAAGCAAAGCCTGAATCTTGCAACCCCACATAATCCTTAGCTTTCTTAACCTTCCAAAACCAAGTATGGGTTTCCTTGAGGAAGGAAAACAGTCCCTTGGGGTTATCCAGGTAAATACCCATTACCCTAAACAAATTTAACCAGAAGCCCAAAGTACTGGGCAAATCGGTGTATCGTTTCATTATACACATCTCTATTCAACTTAGTGAAGTACCAAAGACATCTCCAAAATATAGCACTCCCCCATCGCCCCCCCCAAATCTCAAACATCAAGGAAAAACCAGGCAAGATGATGCCATAGCAGTAGATAAAACGAAAGAGAGGTTAGAATATCATTACCTTCTTACTAATATGTTGCACAAGAATACTATTCGTTCGCTTGTCATAAGGGAAGTCAAGGCGCCACCAACTGCACCGGATATGTTTTTCTTCATTTGCTCCAGTGTAACCCCATTTTCATCCATCACCCGACCAGTGACACTTGGCTTGTACTCTTTACATTCCAAGACACACTTAATCATTATCATACACTGAATCAGAAACTGCTCAAATAATAATACATCTGGTTCAGGATCTGTTATCTTCTTTAAACAGAAATCCACTACAGTTGGAAGGACACATTTATCACTAAATGAGTAAGGATGTCTGCCCTGAATTGCAATTAAAACCTTCATCAACTTAGTACATGCCCTCTTTATAAAGTCCCAAAATTTAGGATGTCCTTTCTGAAAGGAAGAATCTGTTATAAAAGGAAACGCTTCAGAAAAATGTTAAGCAATAACATATTGCAACCTTGAATATATATTTAAACATTATATACACATGGAAAGGGGAAATTGACACCTGTAAAAAGTCAAACTGATTAAATAACGTAAATTAGTGGATCTTAAACAGCAGTTGATATACTGAGACCTTTGCCCTATGTTTGTATGAGGGACTTTAAAGTTTCAAGGAACTTAGGCTAAATATGTTAGAAATGCACTACCAAAATTAGATAGAGGGGCCTGAAAGACTAGATGCAGTATATTTGAGAGAATTTTTAAATGACTTCAAGGAGTCATTTTGAAAGTCACTTGTTTAGTGTCTTTGTAGTGTATTTTTAGCGCTCTAGGATTAGCTTTGTTGTGCTAGAGTAGTTCATTGGTAGTGTTCTTGTAGTGCATTTTTTTATGATCGAGTCTAAAGCCTCGGTACTTTTAAAAATCCTTTATCCAAACATAGGGTGACGAACTTAAGCATACAGAGGCATTTGGCAAACACATACAATTACACAAAGTTTGTATAGAAACCACAATAACTGTTAAAAAATTGGACAGGAGAACAATATCTCACAATATGGGAGAAATGACTGAATGGCATTCAAGAGCAGGGGCGAGACCTCCTTCACTGGCCGGACCTCCTAAGAAATACACAGATCAGTTAATTATGAACATTTGTGTACAGGCATATTGATGAAAGGCGTTGGTGCACACCAACACCAATTTTCATTTCTTTTGAAGGGTGTGGTTTTAACTACCTGCAGACATTTTGCATCACTTGGAAACCCTGAAACTATTAACTGGCATATTATCCTTAAGCACAGCAGCCATCGCTCACAAGTTAGATAAAGCTCATCCTGATGTAGCTCCAATGCATTTGAGTTATAGCTTTCAGAAATTGTACAAAAACCATGTAAAATTGTTTGCATGTCGCTCTGCCAAAGGTGCCAGCTATAATCAAAGAACTGAGCTGATATCTGCAAAAGATGTCAACAAATATTAAGGTTTCATACAAGATTGTTTATAAATTATACAAGTAAAATATCATCCCCAAAATAAAGAGCAAATCCACTAATAGTTGACAATAACCACTAAGCTTCAAAATTCACTACAAAGAAACAACTGAATTAATACACAGTTGATATGTAATGAACCTATTCCATGTAAGTCATTACTCATTATGTAAGACCAGTTTGAACCACTTAATATGAGGGTTTGGGTAAAAATTTTGAGTTTGGAGATGGCCTTATGTTTTAAATCTTAGTTATAAAATATAAACAACAGACCTACACAATGACCCACCAATGAGATTGTAATGTGTCCTTGCTTTTATGTCAATGTGTTTATGATGATAATAACAACTATTTATCAACCAATCAAATTTGTAAAGATCGTACAGAGCACTAAGCAAGTTGGTAGTTGGAAACAAAAATATATTAGGAGATCAAACCGCCAACAACAACCTGGCCCTTAAATTTTGGTCCAAAATCTGCATAGGTGGAAAAAAAATAAGGGTCCAGTGAGATTCATGGACTGGATGGGCCCAGCTCAGTGAACTCGAGTCAGTCCCCGTGAAAAACAGAAAAATTCACTAAAAATTATGTTCAAACAATGAGGATGGACCAGAAGTACAGTACGAGGTTCAAGATTCTCACTGCCCAAAAAGCCATTTCAGGGCAAGGCGGTCCCAAAATGCCTTGGACATTGCTGAGTTTCCCGAAAGTCCTGAAGAAATTAAGCCTCAGTGAAACTTGGTGCTCTAAATGTGAATTCGAAGAGAAAGCATAGAACTCTTGAACTATAGTCTGTTTTTGCTGGATGTTCAAATGTTTTTAAACAAAAAAGATTGTGGCACCCCCTAATTTTTCAACAGCAATAAAATCTCTCTACTCTACATCAGGTGTGCAGCTCTGTGCCAAGTCCATTTGGCAGCTTAACTATGTGGTTGGCATGAAGCTACACTGCATTCATTGCTTGCCAACAGAAAATAAATGATAAGGTCCCGTGACCACTAACAAAGAAAAGTTAGTTGAAAGTTATCTTTTTTTTTTTGTTGTTCGGAAAAGTCAGCATCAGTTTGATAAAAATTAATAAAAGCTACTAACAAATTATAGAAATAGGCCAAAACTTAATTAGAGGCTAATCAATACCAAATAAATAATACCTATTTGCTAAAAGGCTTGGAAAAATATAAAATTCTCATACAGTTGTCTGCAATTTTTGGTCTAATGGTAACAAAAGAAGCACTGGTTGTGTCAACAAAAATGGAGAAAAAATACTTTCTACTGGGCATATAAACTTATATTTAACATATATGTATATATATTTTTATATAAATATATCTCTGTACACCTCGACCTGATCCACACCCCTAAAAACACTGCTTCATACTACAGGCGGATAGAGCTTAGAAATTGTGTCAATCAAGACATTCTTCAAGAAATCAGCTTTGAACTCAGTAGTAAGAAAAGAAAAATATGTATGTCATCAATCTGAAATTACTATAAATTTTTATTGAAAGATTGTTAACTTTCACGAGACCATACAACCAGGCTCAGCAAAACTTCGGTTCCTTCACGGGCATCATATTAAAGGTACACACTGCCTACTCAGAGCCTCAACCAAATTATAAAGATCAACAGCGATTGAAATCTCAATTACAAAAGATTGCTCCATAAAAGATATGACTAGCAGCTCAAGGCATATTTTATTGTTGTAGAGGAATGAAAACCATAAGAAAATATTTAACTATAACAGGAATTAAACTAAAGAAAAAGCATATCTAGCTTAACCCCATACATGCTTTAAAGCTATACAGAGAAAAAATAAATAAAGCACAAGCTTCCTTAACCATGCCATTAAGGCTTTAACACCGAGACCCAGTCATAATCAGCAAGTTTTATTGTTATAGAGGAATGAAAACCATAAAAAAGATATCTAGTTCAACAATTAAAGGAATGAAACAGAAACACATTTCAGCACATTGTTAATTTTACAATAAGACCATTAGAGAAAATGGAAGGCAACTTGAATTTGTAGGAAAGCAAAAAAAAAAAAAAGAAAAAAAAAAGAAAAGAAAAGAGGAAAGTGTACAGTAGTGTATACCTCTGCAAAGTTCTTTTGGTCTGAGATAAGACGCTTAGAGGATAGTTCCTTCAAAGTTCGAAAGAGGGTCAAAAAAATTCTGTGGGAAGAAAGAACATCTGTTGATTGAAGCTTTTGTGCTAAAACAGATAAGAGCTGTGGCCTGAACATGTCATTATGTTGATAGATCAGCACAAGTTATGCACTTGATATGGGAACATTCAAAGAAGGGGATAAGGCATAAAAGTCTGCAAGTATGGAAAATAACAAATCAAAATAAACAAGTTGATGCTCACTTCTAAAGTTCTAAAGTTATCACAATTCAACCATCAGTTTATCCTAATTATGATACAATAAAAAATCTCATCTCAACAGTAAAAAATCTATTTCCCCATACAGTTCTCTCTGGGTTCACTTTTCCTTCAAACTAAGCAAAAAATGGGATCCATGTCCATTCTGGCTTTCTGCATCATACACCTGAGACATGTGGCTCTTTTCAAAATTTTCCCCCAGTTCACATTTCTTATGAAGAATTGGTTAAGGAGAGAAATCTTAAGTAACATAAAGCTCAACGAGATTATAAGTTTATAACTTTCCTGCAAGGTCCATTTGAGATAGAAAACAAAGAAGCTGAAGTTACAGTAAACTCATACCATTCTTTGGGGTAATCAATACGAGCAATTTTGGAAACAAGCACGGCCAACACTTTTGCTATCTGTGTTGGGAAAAAGAGAAAGAAGAAGAAAACAGGAAATCAGTAGCAGCTAAATTTGAGTGAACTTCTGAATCACCAAATGCTAAAACTTAAGAGAGTAAGGAAGGGAGGGAGGGAGAGGAAGAGAGAAGGAGAGCTTGTATCGTATTAAACTAAAACTACTAAAAGAAAGTCCTATCAAATTCGAAGATGTGAAATTATAACATAATGGAAGGGCAATTGCAAAGTTTGCAATAGTCTAAATAAAAAAAAGAAGCAATTAACAAAATTAAAGAGAAGTTAAAAAAGTAAAACTGGTACAATATTGTTTCCAATTACAGTAACTATGGGTCTAATCTTCCTCGAGGATGCCAGTAAAGATAATCGGCCTTGAAATTTCTTACGGTATTTTCAAATTTTTTTCAACAGAAAATAAAAAATAACAAAAACTTGTAATGTTATAAGAAGAAAGAAGAAATGAAAGACAAGAGGAAAGGATTGAACACCTGATCGTTCTCTTCTCCAAAGTGTGATAAGAGTTTTTGTCTCAGATGCATTTTCTCCTCGTTGCTGATTCCCCTGAAAACACACGTTTCAGCACACACCACATAGAGGTCAAGGGTTTGCTTTGCTGCTAATGGGAGAGAGATAGAAGAGAGATACTTACGACGAATCTCGCCGGTGCCTCCAATAGCGATTAACGCTGTTCTTGAAATACACTGAAGCCAACAAGCGAACATCCACATGAGCTACCAAATCCTTGGCAGTTATCACTTCCTGCATAACAATAACAAGCATTCATTCTATTTTCTCAGAAATCTCTCCAAGAAAGAAAACAACCAAGATCGATCGCATTCCTGCCCCAAAAAACTAAAACCCTAATTTCTTTATTAATTAATATTAATTAATTAAGAAAAACAGCTGCTGTTTTGCTTACCATCAGACAAGAGCAGAAACCAGGCCTTGCCTCCGACTGCGAGAGCGCTAACTCCGCCGGTTTCCGCACATTTTCGTCGCCACTCAAAGAGTTGGCCAGCAGCGAGTACATGGCTGGCAGGTCAGACGCCGAGAGCGCCATTGCTGCTTCTCTACCTCTTAAGAAATTGATGACAAGTTTTTGTTGTTTTGGTTTTATTTTCCTTTTTATCGTGAGAGGGTTTTTTTCTCTCTTACAACCAATTTCAGCTGTTTTCAGGCATGCCCAGTGGTAAGGTCACAGATTGTAGTTTGGGATTTTAACGAAAAGGTTTTTGGTATCGTTTATTTTAACAAAAAATTATATTTTTATATTAAAAAACTAATCTTAATATTATTTACTTTACCCTTTATTTTGTCTTAAAATTGAAAGTTTTCAAATCATTTTCATTGGTTTTCCTATAAGCAAAAGGATATGGGAGGTCATGTGTTCGATGCTCTGAGTTGGAGAGTCTGCTTGACCCTAACTACATACATGGTGAAATTCCTTATAGCCTCGCCAAATCCAGAAAGGGTAGATAACCATGCTTGCCACCATTCCTTTTTTTTTTCTTAAAAAAAATCATTTTACCCATTAGATTTGTGTATCATTGCAACTTCATGTAATATCGTTATAGTTGATTTACTAATCCGTAATTAAAACAAGAGAAATTAAATTAAAAAAGAATTGAATTGATGATGAATTGGAATGAGATGAAATCAGAATTAGATTTCTATTGAAGTTGTTTACTAGATTGCCAGAAATCGGAGTTGAAATGACATGTATATTTCATGTAAAATGTTTACTTATTTATATGAATCAGAATTGAAATCAGTTTAAGTACTAAATTGTTTGTTTTTAATAAATATTTTTTAAATGCTACACATATTCTCATAAAATTAATTTCAACCAAAGTAGGTATTTTATAAAACAATTGAACAAGATTTTATAAAGATATAAAACTAAAAATATACCTCTTAATATAGATAATATCGTTTGTTAAAAAAAAGAAGTAAAAAAGTAAAAATATGTATATAAAATAAATAAGGTAAATCTCAGTTTACCACCTTCAAGTTTCGTGGTTTTCAACCTTTAGTACATGAAGTTTTTCGTCCCAGAGTCATACTTAAAGTGTCAATTTTAGGATAGTCTCATACATTCGTTAGTCTGATTGTTAAGTCTTCCGTTAACTAATGACATGGAGCCCATATAGATAATGACTAGGCACCACGTGTTATTAAGGGGTCCACATGGAAATTAAAAATTAAAAAAAAAATTAAAAAAATAAAAAAATAAATTAAATAAAAGTATAAAAAAACTCATAACCCTCTTCGTCTTCCCCACTCGACACCCTTCTCCCCTCCACCCGAGCATCCCTTCACCTTCTTCGTTTTCTCCACCCGTGCACCCCCTTCTCCCTCGAAACCTCTCCCTTTATTTCTTCATGCAATGGAAATTCACTGATTAATTCCCCCAAATTCATACCCTTAATTCTCCATCCAAAACCCTAACATTCAAACCCTCAATCATCAATGGAACAACTTAAGAGAACATAGAGAGAGAGAGAGAGACCAGCAGCAGTGAAATCAATGACGTCAATCAACTCCGAAGCGATCAAGAAGCACATATACGAGTTGACTGTGGAGAACTTGACATTCTCAGCTCCGAGTTCCCACCGATATTGATAGCCAAACCACTCGACCTTATTCTTAGGCCAAACCACGTCCATCTCTTTCCCAAGTATAACATTCATCAGCCGTCCGAGATCATAGCGGTCGAGATTCAGGTTGTCTCTTTTCATCCCATTGATCGCTAGCTCATTGAGGTCGACGGTGTTCCTGATCTCAATCTGGTTATGAGCTTGAGCCTCCACGAGACGGTGGCCATGTCGCGGCTGACGACGAAAACCCTAAGGTCTTGGAAGAAAGAGATGAGGAAGCGCGACGTGACCTTGCCGTAGTTCCAGTTGAAATGAATGTGGTAGATGAGGGTGTGGGACTCGATGTTGAGGGTGGGGAATTGGTATGGATATTCCTTGAGTCCCGAGCTACCGGTGTACTCGTCCTCTGCATTGAAACCGACGAGAACGACGTCGTTTTTGGTGTTGGGGGACTTGAGGACTTGCTTCAACCACTATGTGATGACGGAATGGTAGTAGGTAACGATGGTCAGGATGCGGTGGGAGTCCACGTGGACAGTGAAGACGTAGGTGCATTCAGGCTCGACGGTGACTTGCAAACCATTGCAGCAATGGTGGTTATTTCTTTCATCTATTTCTCTTTCTTTCTCTGTTTCACGTCTAGTCTCGAATTTTCTGAAGCAACTCTGTGATAAAGATCCCGGCGTCATGGGTGCCACGCTCTGCTTGCTGTTTAATCTAATTACCATTGATGCAAATTCTTTTAAGGATTTGGTGGTCTGTTTTGTCAGCATTCTCAAGTAGGTCGCCGAGGATAAGGAAGGAAAAAGAGAGTTGTGTGGATGAGGGTGGAGGGGTGGAGCCGTGGAGGGGGTGGAAGGGATGGAGGGATGTCGGGTGGGGAAGAAGAATGGGGTCCTGGTTTTTTTTAAAAATTTATTTATTATTTATTTTTTTAATACTTTTATTTAATTAATTATTTTAATATTTTTTTGAATTTTTAATTTCCACGTGGACCATTTAATGACACGTGGTGATCAGTCATTGTTCACATGGGCGCCACATCATTAGTTAATGGGAAACTTAACAGCCAGACTAGCGGCTGTATTAGATTGTCCCAAAATTAACACTTTAGGTATGACTCTGGGACGAAAAAAACTTCATGTACAAAATGTTGAAAACCACAAAACTTGAGGTAGTAAACTGAGATTTACCCAAATAAATAATAGAAAAAATAGGTATTTAAAACATAATTGAAGAAGATGTGTAAGCGTAACCACCACCATCCCTTTTACCTTCCTCTTGATCTTCCTTCCTCCTAAGTCCATTTTTCCCTAGCCAATCGCCACCTTCCACCAAAGCCTTCCCTCACAAGCCGCACAGACTATCACATCATTCATCTCACTCTGTTTATATGGATTCTAGAAAGTCGACAAGTCGGCAACGACTGATAGGAATTGGGAGAGGGCTGAAGCTGAACGAAATATAGCTAAAGGTGAAGCTTCTCCAATCAGAATTGGGAAGAAAAGATGGGTTTGTTGAAGGTTTTAAGGTTGTCTGTTAGAGTTGGGCAAGTAAATTTGCAAGGAATGTTCTAGAATTAGCAAAAACAATGGGGGGTAATACTAGTACAAAAGTTGAATTTGTGATGAGCTTTATTGCGAGGAATCCAAATACAATCTCAATATTAAGAATCTGGTTCCAGAAGTTTAAGGAATCTGATTCCCCATTTTAGGTGGGTCTCACATATTTTCATTTCCCAAATGTTGGTAAACACTTGAATCCCTTTGGAATCAGTGCAATTCCTATTCCTTTCTTCCATTCCCTTGGTGTAAACACACCGTTAAAACATTTCAATATCTTAAATGTACTAATTATTTCATTTCAATTTCATATATCTATTAAGGGTTTTTTAATTAACACTCCACATGTTGTTGAATACACCCTACTTAAAAATGTAATACTAAACTACTTGTAACTCTAATATGAAATGACAATTCGAGCCCTCATAGCTACTCTTACTCTCCATTATAGAACAAAACCCTAAAAACACAAACACGTTGATGAAAAAATATCTTTTGATGAACGGAAAAAAAAATCGAGTTTTGCTCCACGTTCATTTGTTGGTTTTCACATTCAAGAAATTATTTAAATAATGGAATAAAAATTTGACTTTTTACAATGCCCTGTTGTAATTGGAATCCAAGAAATAAGAAGAAAACTGGAGAATGTTGTAAAATTTTAAGATGTAATTAAATGTGATATTCTTGTGGCTGTTTGATGATGAAGAAATTCAATGTTTTTTGGTTGGTTGGAACTGACATGACTTTATAAGAACAGTTCATACCATTTGTCCATCAGGCTTCTTAGAATCCAACGTAAGTGTTCAAGAAACGGAAGTTTATAAATCAAACAACAAGATGAAGATTTTATACAACAATTTAATTTATCTTTCTTATCTTTAAAATGTGGATTATTCTTTTGTTTGAAAGGGATGAAGAGTTTGATGTGAGGGTAGTATTGGAAAATATGTGGGGTGTGTTAAGAAAAAATTTAATATAAAAATGTGGGGTGTTAATAAAACAAGTTATCTAGTAATAAATCTGTTAAGTTAAATAACGTAATAACAATGAGTTTTATATTTGTGCTAATGTGGCTATCAATGCATCACACGTCTAAAAAACTAATAAGAAACTAAATTTTGTATAAATGTTTTTAAAAAAATTAGTTAGATATTAAAATAATTAATTAAAGGCCACAACCACTCTCTTCCCCCATCACCATCACACATTTCTCTCGTTTGAATCAAGAAACTCCTAAACCACAGCGCATCATTGCAGACTAGGTTATGACTTCAACAAACTCCTTAACTCTAAACCCAGGTCTTGACGTCTCTCATCCTTTTTCGTGGTGTTATTGCACAATTGTTGTTGTAGAAACCCAACCGTCCTCGTCCACCCCAACGCCCACACCATGTCCATGGCCATGGCTATTCGAAAGTAAAATATTTTGAATAAGACAAAGCAAATTGGTCGACTGATCGGAAATACAAGAGTAAAGTTAGGTGTGGAATCTAAAACTTTCATGAGTTGTTGTGGGTGTGGAAAATATTTAGATTGTGCAGATGGGGATAAATGAGAGAATGGAGAGGGTGGAGAGCCTTACAGAGATGGAGAGCGGTTTGAGGGTTTTTATAGAATTGTTGGGTATGGAAGATATTTGGGTTGTCACCAATCTCGAACTCACAAAGTCACTGATGTTGTCGTCTGAAGAGGAGGATCATAGTTGTCTTCGACCCAACCTTTCCCTTTGCTTTTTCACCAAGTCCTCATGTTGGAACCAAGATCATGCACATCTGTAGCTGGAGGCAATCATTCAGTCGGAATTGCTAATGAACACTGGCAAGGGATGAATGAGGTTAATTGGGGGGATGTCAATCACATCCATATCAGACTGCCTATATATCTTCGAGGATGGAGAATTAGATTACGGGTGTAGTTCTAAACCACATCATACATACTTCTTTCTTAGAACTACACCTTTGGCATTTAATTCTTTCTACTTCTCAAGGTATAATGATAAATTGAAAAGCTCACCTAGA